AGGTTAGCAAAATTCAGCTGAACTAGCTCTGGTATAGGCTAAGGATTCCAGAGTCCCAGCGGCACATGCCCAGCCAGAAATTGCTAAAGTATCCCCCGGGTTTTAATTCTGGTGAAGCTTTTGTAGATGAACTTCACCAGGAGATTTATAGTTCAACGGTGGTGAACAAAGATGTCTCAGAGGCCTTCCTACAACTCTCATCAACCCTGTTCCATGCATATTTCTTCGTACTCGATTAGAAGACTTCCAGCTGTTGGCCTGTCACTAGAACTTACGCCCTCTCTGAGGGAAACCACATCCGGACTACCTGGACTTCGTTTAACTTGTAACGAAGCCCTCGTGGTGAAATTAGCAGTAAAGATTGTTCTTGGTGTTGTTGGAGTCGTTTATGCCGGCTAACATGGTGTCAGGAGTGGGATTGACCCGATAAATCGACAAGAGAAGCATTCACGGAAACCAAAGGTACATTTAGCAAAACTACTACTGTCAACTCCTCAAACAGCGATGGCGAACCTCAAACGACCTGACTTGAAACTTGGCGGAAATATGTCAGAAAATTTCAAGAACTTTGAAATCAGATTCCACGACTACTGTATCCAAGCCGACTACAGAAACTGGGCAAAAGACCCTGAGACGAAGAGAGAGGATCATTTCAAGAAACCTTTGCTAGAAATACGGCGCTTCGATCGGCAATGCCAGACAAAGCTTTGCAGGTGATCCGTGACACATTTGAACCTCAGATAGCAGCTGATGAGCGGACAAAACCATGGATCTGGAATGACAAATTACGACTTCACTATACTAGATCTATCGGAAGCTCCCTCATGGCAAACAGATTTAAATTCTGGAACACTCAGCAAAGCCCAAACGAATCTGTTCAAGAATGGGAAGTTAAGGTCAGACAGGCGGGCAGCCTATGCTCGTTCAACGCGCTGACGGATGAAATGTGCCGTGGCCGAAGCCAAGGCCCTTGAATCGGCTCAAAAAGCCAACAAACTCATTACAGAGCCACAAAAGGAATTGTGGAACAAGTAAATTATACTGGATAAGCCATAAAAGAAGAAACTAAAGCGAGACCATGGAACCTGCTTTTGGTGAGGAGATCGGCGTGGACCTGACGCTTGGAAAACATGCCCTGCAAATGGCAAAACATGTACTAAGTGTGGAATTAATGACCACTGTTACAGAGTCTGTCTAGAGCCAGCCCCCTCCC